GCTAGAGGGATGACTGGTGTGGGAAATAGAACATTTTATACTAATTCAATTGAGGGTTCTTTGCAGAGGCGGGAACATAGTGGAGTGACATAGAGTTTACATTTGGTAAGCAATTACCTTTTCAGAGAATATTTCGACTGCTACTAGCTGTTAAAGTTAAAAAGGTTTGCTTATTCTGTACCTCTCCATTCAGAATTGGTACAAGTATATTTTGCTGTGTATTTCAAATCTGTCTATAAAGAAGACTGTTATGAATGCTTTGGGAATTTAGTACCCAATAATGTCAAGTGAGACTAAAACCTTTTTCGACCTATGGACACCTCCCTCTAGCTCGGAGTTGTGCTCTGCCACTGTCAAGTGCTCTGGGACGCTACCCTGAGTGAGGAGTGTGATATAAATGCAAGTTGTTGTTGTGAGTAGAAGTGGTCAAAATATTGAAACCTCCTTTAACTCCTTTTCAACTATTCTAATTTTTAGATGCAATTACTTTGACTCATAATATATAGTTAAGGCAATCTTCAAAATGACTATCAAAGAACTTCTATGGGTGTAACAAAAATAAAATAAAACAAGCCACAGAACAACAAACTTTAAAGGATATTTCTAAGGGTTGAACTCTATGAAAGTGGCACTCTGTGTTGGTTTGTCAGTGTTAAATTTAGCATTTTTTGCCACTGACTCTTTACAGATGATCATCTGTTGCACTGAACAGTAAGGGAGAGCTGATGGAGATGTGTTCTCTGTTGATATAAATGGAAGGAATCAATTTTCAGTGCAAACACACATACACGCACAGTAGGGAGGAGAGAAATAAATTAACACATACTTGAGAAAGCTGCTGTACTATCCAGTCCCATAATGGCTGCCAAACTCTTTTTTTAAAAATAAGTTTCTCATTTCATATCTTTATTTTGAGTCCTGGAGCTAAAACCTTTTTTCTGTGATGGTGACCCATTGTTGTAAAATGTTCCAATTTTAAATGAGCTCCAAATACACCCCACTTTGACTTATAAATCTAGCGAGAGACCAGAGTTCAATTCCAGGCAGGGCGAAACTTTGGGCAAGATTCCTTACTCCACATGCCTAATAATAATCTCTCCAAAAACGAAAACAATAATAAATTGGTCATTTTCAAACCACGACTGTTTGTGGGACACTGCTGTGTGCAATTGGCTGCCGAGTTTCGCCCACAAATATACAGTCAATTCACTTTACAGTATATTCTGTGAAGCGCTTTGAGACGTCTAGAAGACGTGAAAAGTGCTATATCAAATGCAAGGATTATTATTATGAATCTAGTCTTCTAAATTATCTCAAGGAACAATAAAATATTTAATGACTTCGCTAAAAAAAGTTATAATGTAATACTATATTGGTTCAAAGATTTCTTTTTAGACTAAAACATACAGTAGAAGAGGATTTGTACATGACCTATGCAACCATCCAGTATAATAAAAATAATAATACATTGCATTTGATAAAGCGCCTTATCACGTCATTGAGACGTCTCAAAGTGCTCCACAGAATATACTGTAAAGTCGATTGACTGTATTTTGCGGGCGAAACGCGGCAGCTAATTGCGCACAGCAGTGTACTACAACAAGCAAGTACTGTATATGCAACAACAACATGTTAAGATTTTCCTTTATCCTGCTTTGCAAATTACACCTTGTCATTGTTGAGCGCATTGGAAGCAGCACATTGGAATACAATTGAAAGAAATTGGTATGATCCTGTTGTTATTCACTGTGTGTTTGACGCTGTGACAGTCTCAGATTAACCGCAGATCATCAGCCGTTGGTGGTTATCATTACTTTATGTTAAAATATTAAGTCGTTTTTTGAAGGTTACCTTGATTTTCAATGAAGGAAAAATGATTTTCAGTTAAAATAAATGTTGGACCCTTTTAAATGAGTCTGTATCATTGCTCCCTTGAGAGTTTTTTTGTGACGCCTCCTCTTTCTGGTTCCAAAAACAGAGCTCTAATTTACATGGGTGGCAGCCTGGCTCAGTTGGCAGCAGTGTTCCTTCTGAGTCAGAATGTTGTGAGTTCAAGTCACATATTTGGACTCTTAGCTCAAAGTCTAAGCTGCAAATTCCAGTGTAGTACTGAAGGAGCGATGCACTGACAGAGGTGCATCCTTCACATAAGACAACAAACTGAGGGTCAATCTGCGTGTTCAAATGAACATTGAAAATTCTGTAGTACTGTTCAAAAAGTACATCAGCCACATTTGCCTGTAAAATACAGTCACTACGCTTCACGGTGAAACAATGCGAAGAGCTTTGAAATAGCCTCTGGACATGAAAGGCTCTTAGCTGGTAATTTGTCTTATTGCTATTACTTAATAGCATTTTAGATGTATATACACAAGAGTATGGATTTAGGTGGTTCTAGGGAATCTTGTTGTTGTTGTTGTTGTCAATTCATTGTAGCCCCCCCCCCCCAAGATTAGGTGATTGCGTCCCAGGATTCACTGTAAAATGTAGTATCTATGTATTATGTAAGAGAATGTAGTACAACGATGCATCAGCCAGAGCAATTTTGTTAGAGGATTGTTGGGCAGGACACTCGCCTTCCTCTTTTGAAATAGTGTCACGGGAGCTTTAATGCCTCTTATCTTTAAGGACAACAATCATTTAGACTGAGCAAACCGTAGAAATTTACAGCACAGAAGGTCATGCGGCACATGTATGTGTGTGGTGGGGAGGGAGGGGTGGGGGGGTGGGATATCCAAGTTTTATTGCAAAATCAAAAACTGAAACGCAGAGCAATCGAGATAAACGTTGGCTTTGCCCGTTTGACCAACTTTTTAGTGTGAAACTGCAGAATGCAGTGGTCACTCTGGCAAAATATTGAGCTTTGTCGGGATGTTAGTGTGAGCAGACGGGTGGGAGAGGGAGTGCGGTGCGTACCACACAGATCAGGTTCTTCCTTCTATGTTATGTTGGGGATGTGTGTGTGTGTGTGGGGGGGGGGGGGGGGAGGGCGCACAGTGATTTATCTTTGATGCTATAAGCGTCGCAGAAATTACTTTTACTTTCGAAACTATTTGAAGCCAAACTGAACGCCGATGCTTTGCCGGTGGGTAGCAGCAGGAGGCGGATTAGGATGTAAATATGAACCCGTCTTAATCCTCGGGAGTTCTCACAGAACAAGGCTGGTACTGTTCAGGGAGAAACACCCACTGTCCGCACCCCATCCACACACATTGTTTCTGCTGTTAGTTAAGTGGGTTAATTTTTAAATTCCCAGTGCTACACTCATTACGAGCTCCAGTTAAACTTCACCTTTTGAGTAAACAGTAACCAAGTGGCTCTATTTATTTTAACGTCTGACGTACCCTGTGAGATTTATGGCTCTACATCCATATTAATGATTAACTTGTACTGGGGGAAAGGGGGGGGGGGGGGGGGATGGGGGGGGGGACCAACCCCCTTCCCGCCTCCATTCCACTTCAAAACACAATATCGCCCCCAACTTCTTTCATGCAAATTATAGTTAATCGTTTTAGTTGATGGTACGAACCCACCACAAAGTGCACAACAGGACACTGAGTTGGGAGGGAAGTGGCATAATCCCATTCGTATCCACTTTTCAATCAATGCATTTTAATGCAATTCCCCCTTTTTTATGCTCACACCGAGCTGTTTGGGGGTTTACTGTTTCCCCGTCAGCCTCACTGCTGATACAGTATCTCGCTTATAAATGAGCCGCAGCGCAGTGCAGCGCAGTGCAGCCGAAATGTGATCAGCGTTCGCTTTGGAGGGCGATTGACGCTTTCTACGTGGAGTATCGTTTTTTCTACACACACACACACACACACACAATGAGTTGAAAGCGGCGAAGGCAGAGGGTCTGGTGATCGATGGCTGTGCGTTCAGTGACACGGTGCAAAAGCAAAGCGCTGGAGGGGGGGCGGGATGGGGAGTTGCGACATTCAGAGGAGAACTGAAATAGATCGGGGCCCCGCGTCACGGGGCGGGATCGGTGCCTTTGGTGGTGAGCTGCAGCTCAGAGGCTTCCTCGGGGAGCACACGGGAGGCGGGGGGGAGAGGGGGGGAGGGAGACGGATAGCATCGCCAAGGCGCTGACATAACATCCACGCAGCGGTTTGCCTGTGGATTTCACACTGCAACTGATGCTGAGACGATGCTTTTCCATTATCATTTTGCGATTGCACTGTTATGACAGTGAAAATAAAAGCGTTACGAGATCCTCTTCATGGCAACCGTGATTATAGTAATCCAACACCCCTGCAGTTAAAGTTAAAGAAGCCAGTGCTGTACTATACTGGAGTGAGGCGCCTCATTTCGATCACGGCCGTGTGCGATGGGAATTTGATAGGAACCGGTTGTGGAATCTGGTGTCTTTAATGGGAGGTTGTCCCTCCCCCCCCCACCCCCTCGGTGTTGCACATTGTTCAGATGCTTACTGCTGAATTCATTACGAGAGCAATTTTTGATCATTCGGGCACGGACTGGTCCGAATACAGGTTTAAGCGTGGGACTGACTGACTGACTGACTGTGTAAAGATTACAACTGTCCTTTCCCATTGTTGGGACCGAGAATCCGTCCCCACATCACCAGCCATGGCCCAGCGAACCTTTCAAAACATTCAGCCCGAGTCCATCACGGGTAGCAAGGATTTTTTTTTTTTGGGGGGGGGGGAGGGGGAGGAGAGGAGGGGGGTGGATCAAGGGATCAAAAGCAAGTTACCGAGATCTCTCCCCCCCCCCCCAAAAAAAAGAAGCAAATGTGCGTGTTGACGTTGCCATGCGCGCCGCTGGAAGTCATGCAAAAACATGTTCCCCCCACCCCCCCACCCCCCCCCCCCCCACCAGCCATGGAAACGGGTTGCATTAAATGCAATCGCTTAATAATGGTGCATTGGTTAAGAAAAAAAAGGCGGATGTTGTTAAGAGTCCTGGAGAAGGGGAGGAGATGTAGCTTTAAGATGTTTTGGTGCGTACTGTACATATATAATATTGGACGGGGGAAGGTGGGGTGGGGGGAGAGAGGGAGGGAGGGAGGGGTGGGTGTAGCTTTAAGATGATTTCTGGTGTGTGCTGCACGGATGTAACATTGGAGAGTGGGAGGAGGTGTCGCTTTAAGATGATTGTTGGTGTGTATCGCGCACATATGTAACATTGGAGAGCGCGGTGGCCGCGGGGGAGGAATGCGGCGGCGCGCATGCGCGGTGCCCCGGCCCACCGTGTCTCTTCAGCGGCGCGGGTGACGTCACGGGCGGAGGAGCACTGGTCGGCAGTGAAGCTGCTCAGAGCCGCCGAGAGGGAGAGCGAGCGAGAGGGAGGGAGAGCCGAGCCGAGCCCGGGGAGCCGCACCAACCACAAGCCGTGCCGCGCCGCGCCGCCTCGCGCAACGCCGAACACCAGGCCTTGCTCCGCGCTCCCTCCCGCACCCGCACCCGCGGAGCGAGGAGCCCGTACCGAGAGAGAGCGAGTGAGGGAGAGAGCGAGAGAGTCGGATCGCAGCCTCGCTCTTTTCTAGTGCTGGGGCTGTTGCTCTCTTTTGCGCCATGTCTTCTGCACAAGTGTCTTCCTCCAGGAGACAGTCGTGCTACCTCTGCGACCTGCCCCGCATGCCCTGGGCCATGATCTGGGACTTTACGGAGCCCGTGTGCAGGGGATGTGTCAACTACGAAGGGGCTGATCGCATCGAATTCGTCATCGAGACGGCCCGGCAGTTGAAAAGGGCTCATGGCTTCCAGGATGGGAGATCCCCCGGTCCGCCGCCTGTCAAAGTTCAGTCCATGGCTGCAGGTAAAGAGAGTGCTCAACTCAACCACGTTGACGGTTCGTCCAAACCGCCCCAAACGGTTCTCGATCGCTATTCCCTGGCCACGGAGAGACCTCGGTTCGAGTACCCAGGCATCACCCACGCTGGCAGGCTTCCCAACGGCTTGAATGGACCCAATGGATTCCCCAAACCCGAGGACATTCCTCCCGAACTCAACAGACAGAGCCCCAATTCTTCTCGCAGAAATCACGGGCTGGTGCCTCCGGGTCCCGTCACGGTCCCCCCTAATTTGTTACCACAGACCACTCTGAACGGCCCGGTGACGGGCGCCCTCCCCCCGCACGGGCTGCTCGGCCGACCCCCTCCTTCCAACGTCTTGGGCTCCTCTCTGTCTGTGACCAGTCAGTCGTTGAGCGATGTAAACAAACGGCCCGGTTCCGTCTCCAGCACCGACCAGGAGAGGGAACTGAAAGAGAAACAACGCAATGCAGAGACACTGGCGGAGCTGAGCGAAAGTTTAAGGAATCGCTCGGAGGATTGGACAAACAAACCCAAAATAGTGCGAGAGACTCTGATCACTCTTTCCAACTGCACACCTTTTGACGTGCGCTTCAAGAAGGACCACTGTCTACTGGGCAGAGTGTTCGCTTTCGATGCCATTTCCAAGCCGGGCATGGACTACGAGTTGAAAATCTACATCGAGTACCCGAGCGGATCTGCCAATGTGTTCTCCAGCGCCTCGGGGGTGGCCAAACAGATGTACCAGGACTGCATGAAGGACTTCGGCCGCGGGCTGTCGTCGGGCTTCAAGTACTTAGAGTACGAGAAGAAGCACAGCTCCGGGGACTGGCGGCTGCTGGGCGACCTGCTGCCCGAGACCGTGCGGTTCTTCAAGGAGGTGGTGGCGGCTGAGATGCTGCCCCAGTCTTACGTCGACGCCAACTGCCCCATTTTGCCGACCGCCCTGTGTAACCTGTCCCGGTCTCTGCCCAACAACTCCTCCAGGACTGGTATGCGCAAGAGGAAAGCCTCGCCCGAGCCCGACCCGGACGCGGGCGGCGTGAAGCTGGAGGAGCGGCAGCAGCAGCAGCAGCAGCAGTGGTTGGCCGGACAGAACGAAGCCCTGAAGCTCACCCTGGCGGCGTCGGGCGCCTTCGGGCCGACCATGGCCCCCAACCGAACCAGCCCTCCCGAGTCCAGCGGCGGCGGCGGCGGCGGCCAGAACGGCCAGTCGCCCATGGCCGCCCTCATGTCGGTGGCCGACACGCTGGGCAACGCGCACTCGCCGAAGGACAGCAGCGGCGGCAGCAACTCGGTCCACTCGACCACCAGCACCAGACGGAACAGCAACAGCCCCGTGTCGCCGGCCTCGGGGGGCGGACAGCGCCGCGTGGCGTCGAGGAACGGGGAGGTGGCCCTGGCGGCGGCGGCGGCGGCAGCGGCGGCGGGGTCGGCCCTGCCGAACGCGCACGCCATGGAGGCCGCTCACCCGCCCAACATCCCGGACTCGCCCATGGCCAGCAACGGGCCGCTGTGCTGCACAATCTGTCACGAACGCTTGGAGGACACGCACTTCGTGCAGTGCCCGTCGGTGCCCAACCACAAGTTCTGCTTCCCCTGCTCGCGGGAGAGCATCAAGGCCCAGGGCGCCAACGGCGAGGTCTACTGCCCCAGCGGCGAGAAGTGCCCGCTGGTCGGCTCCAACGTGCCCTGGGCTTTCATGCAGGGGGAGATCGCCACCATCCTGGCGGGGGACGTTAAGGTCAAGAAAGAAAGGGACCCGTAAACAAACACACACACACACACACACCCTACACACACCCCCCCACACACACACACACTCACTCACTCACTCACACACCACCCCCCCCCCCCGCACACTCTCCCCCACCCACACACACACCCACCCACACACACACCACAACAACAACAACAACACACCCGTTTTCATTTTTTTTTATAAAAGAAAAGAGGAGAGAAAGCGAGAGAGTGACAGAGAGAGAGAAAAAGCTTCAGACTCGGGGTTGAAGTTATTTTTTTGAAACGAAAGAAAAAGCAACGCGAGTAAGAACTAAACCCCACTCCTCCTCCCCCCCTCCCCTCCCCTCACACACACACACACACACACCAACAAGTTAGTCTTATGTATAGACCCATTTTTTTTTCTCTCTTCTCCCCCCCCCCCCCCCCCACTCCCCACCCACCACCAACCACCACCCGTTTTATTTTTCGTCGTTATGTTTCTATATTTTGAAACAAGGTATGTACTCTTCTTCATTTCGAAGGATGGACCTGTGTGTGTGTGTGTGTGTTTTTTTCCCCCCCCCCAAGGGATTAAGATGTTACTGGTTACTGCTTAAAATACTGCTTTCACTTCTGTGGTTGGCAGTGTGTTGGCTCGGTACAGAATCAGAGCACTTAGCGATTAACGCTGCTGGTGTGTGTGTGTGTGTGTGTGTTGTGTGTGTGTGTTTTTTTTTGTAAATGTATGCACTTCGCTGAATTGCCAAGGCCAGTGTTGACGCCTGCAGAAATGCAAACAAATCGTTACAAAAAAAAAATGGTTACAAAGCTTGTTACGTTACAAGCCCTGGGATAGTCTCCTGCAAAGTGACTTTTTTTTAAAAAAAAGGTGAGGGGTTTCTTTTTATTAGTTTCCAAGGGGCAAATCTTTCATTTTACGATTCAGTGAACTGCTGAATTTTTTTATATATATATATATATAAAACGTGTTTTTTTTTTCTTTTTTTTTGGCTTATGGATGCACGAATGCTTTAAATAGTAGAGCAAATTGCTGTACTGTATATGACAAAAAAATGCTCTGTTTGTTCTTTATACATTTCTGTAGTAACAGAAGACTGTAATGTGCCTTGGAGCTGAATAAATTGTAATAAATTCAATTAATAAGCTCCCTGACTAGTCAATTTCTTTAAAGAACTATAAGAAATGCAGAACAAATGGTATGTGGAGTATGGTTGAATTTCTTTGATAGCATTTCTGGATTACATTTCTACAGCCACTGTTAGAGATGTCGTTCTTATTAAGTAATTTATGTCATTGCTGTATGTACTCGTCTTGGCAAAGAGCCCATATATTTGTGTCACCTGAGTTGATTTAAGAAACTGCTGACTCAGGATTTTCCATTTTTTATGGACTCTGGACTGAGATTTGATGAGTTCCAGGTTGTACCTTTATTTCTGCTGAAACAAAATCTGTGGTAACTATTGTTCCGCATTTAGAGGCACTTTAAAGTGATTGAATGTTACTGTGTAAAATCAGTGCTAGTTAACTGTAGTGGTCCAGGCAATAGCAAGAAGTTTGAACTGAAGACTTTTTAAAAAACGAATGTGGAATGCAACTGTCTGCTTGGACCATGGAGAGTAACAAAAACTCTACTATTAGTTTGCAGAATTGCATTCCTGTGTTTTATTTCAGAAAACTTAATCATAAGACAATAATTGTGTAAGATGTACCTCCTCCTACATGCTTTAAAACAAACAGTTCAATATTTAATGTTTAGTGTACCAAAATATTACTGTTTTCATTACATATTTAAAAGCGCTGATGCTGTTTTGCTTTATATGAGACAAAAACTTCCAACTACCAGTTGTCTTCTTTTACACGTTTTCAGTGTTTACGTTCCTGGTAGCTTTATCACTAATTATGTTTAGAATCACAATAGTAATGGTACTACAGTATTCATTAAACAAGGTTAATAAAGTACAGCACTGCCAGTGGACTGCTACAGTTAATTTTTTTGTTATATTTAGAGTGTTGGGTTTCTATAACCTGAAAAAATGCACTTTCCCTGAACATAAAATATTTGAAAGTTACTCTTGTGACTAGTGAAATGTTAACAATGAAAACAATTGAGTGTTTGGTTCCAGTCCATCTTTACAACAAAAGAGAAGCTTTATGTAAACACTAATGTATTTGATGGAGATGTGACGTGGGTTTGATATTTTATGTTGTGTGTCTGTCCTAAAACACACCCTTTACACCTTGGAACAGATTATTCTGAAGCTAGCAATCAAATGTTGTTGGAAGGGTACAGTGTATTGGAGCATATGCCTACAGTAATAGATTAGTTGAATGGAGGTAAATTCTGTACTGTGGATAATTGATCAAAATCTAGTCTGGCTTTGTAGGGTTTTCATCAGCAGACTATTAGTCCCAAGTACTGTAATCTGATGATTGGTGTTAGTTTATTTCTCTTTTGTTGCTAGGCTAAATTATACGTGACCTGCAGGTGATTAACAGCACAAATATAATTTCCTGAATGTGGCAAATGGTACAGTTTCAAAGTAAAACTGAACAACATTTCATCTTTAATGCAGGGCTTGTGCATTCAGGAACTGCAGCTCCAGACCTGTTTGTTTTTACAGCTGCTCATCATCTGCGGGTTTTGATTCTAAAGATACAATATTGGGAGTTATTTTTATATTTTAATTACTCAGCCTTTTAATAGCTCTTGCTAGCGTTTGATAAGGCATTTTGTTTATAGCCTTGATCGGTACTCTGTGCCAAATTATATGTTCTCCCTAACTGATCTGGATAACATGTTCCAGAAAAACTTGAAATAGCCACATAATCTATGTGATTCCCAGCCAGTGAAAACCGTAAAGCAGAGCGCCTTCTTCGCATTTCCTCACAATGTAGAATAATTGATATTGATGTGGGGACAGAGCCAGATGAGGCAATGCCTGACTCTTTGCTCTACTGCCCCAATATCAATAAAGCTAATGGTTAATAAAGTGCAGGGAGGTGCTTAGATGCTAAGTACTGTTGCTTGTTGAATTGAAAAGACTTTTTTTTAATACCGCATTCAATTAACTACCATGAAATATTTTTTGACACATCAGGACAGATGACCTGCTTTTCAAAAGCACTTGGTAATCAATTTCAATAAAAGCCTAAGTCAGACACGGCAGGTTACAAAAAAATACTCAACAAAGAGACTAGGCAACATCAAAGATGTGTTTAATCTCAAATTGTGCAGACTAAGAAAAGTTATCAGTGGCCTTGGCATTTCTAAAGCACTGTATTATAATTAAGTGAGAAAGAGAACAACACGGTTGACATAAGCATTTAGGCCTTGGGTATGAGTGGATGCTGTTGAGCATGGAAAATAATGCATAAGATCTGTACATGTTGCAGAAGGTGCATGGATCTGCCTTCATTGAGTTGTGTGTAATCCTGTCAGACAGAAAGGTGGGTGGTTTAGATTTTGTCCAAATTCCAATTGCAAGTAAATAACAAAATTAACTTAAACGTCCACCTGTCACGGTCAGACAAACCCCCCTCTCTGGACTACTGTCTGGGATCCACATAACATGTATGTTGTAGAGGCTATTATGAGCTCTTCAGAGAGACATAAAGCAGCCAATATTGTGCTGAGAGCTGGTGTATAACAGAGGAGTTACTGCATGTAACTGAATGCCTTAGTGGAACTCTTCTTCTGTTCCATACACTGTAACCTAGTTCATTCACCATTTTGTTTTGCTCCTCACCAATGGGGAAACCATCAATAATCTTACCATAAACAAACATTAGAGTGGTTAGTGCAGTTATATGTGAGGGAGTCAGGACATCTATGTATACAAATGTTTATTTGTTATGGCACTACTTAAAGTTGAAAGAGGGGGTGGGAACTCTTAATTGTACATGCATGCTTTATTTTCTCTCATCTGTCTATAGCTTCAATCTTTCCAAAATATTTTATTGGCATTACTTAAGCTCTTCTCTTTTTGCCCCGCATACTTGAGTTTCACAACTAATTTCACTGACAAGTAGTTTGGCTGGAGTCCGTGGTACATTATATCTTTTTACCTGCTCACGTGGAAAGCAAATGTGACTTTTGTCCAGATGTTCCTATTAAGCAGATACGATCCAAGGAGATGTTAATTTAAACTAATTCCACCTGACAAAGCCTATGCTTTTTTGGGCTTTATTTTGGGAATTAGCATATTTATTAATGTAATATATCTAAATAAAACGCTGCCTCCCCTGAATCTTACTTTCTGCTTAATTATGTGACATGCTTTTTTTTTTGGCATGCAAGCAGGTTTTTAACAATAATCATTTCAATGTGGAAGGTAACATACTGCAGAGTCCCATCCTACCTTTATATTTTGCATCAATGATTTACTGCTACCTTTCTTCTGTGTAGCCCTACCCATCCATGTTCTTCCCTCCCAATAGAGCTGTAATTTTTGTTTAATTGACTAACATTAAAGCTGCTCATGATGGTCATTAAAATATTTGCTTCCTGCATGGAGTTGTGAAACACAAGTGTCAAGAAACAAATTGCCCAGAAATCGTAAAGGAGAGTTTGCCTGTAGAAGAGGTCATTTCTATGAAACATAATCTTTTGTGTCCCCTACAATAGGTTTGTCCATAAGCTCTCACCTTTGAAGAGGGATCTCTGAAAAAGACCTCTCCGCAGCTCCAAGCAGACCGATGTTTCACAAACGCAAACATAAGTCTGTTCATATAACGGGGATTTGCCTGTCAAATAGAGCAAGCACTATTAATTTCTGCTCTTGCATTTTACGAGGAGATGTGCTTTGTTTTTCTATAACATCACCAGCATTGAGGTGAGGCTGGTTAAGGAAACGGCACTTCCGAGACCCTACTGCACAACATACAGACTTACCTGCTGAATGTCACTTGAGAAAACCAAGTGATACCAATTGAATCCATTTCATAAAATATTGGTCTGTTTGAGGCATGTTAACAAGTTTTTCTTTTGCCAAAAGATTACTCTTTATAGTTGAGAGTAAATTAATAAACATTACCTGTGGGAGGTATGAGAGCGGTAGGTACTTTATATTGA